GAGACGCCTGAATTTTACTTCTTCCCAGTTCTGATTAATCCAGTTTCTCTTGTCAGCAGGGCCTTTATCTCTTAACATTAGTGTTTGGCAGCTCAAGCCTCCTGTTGTCTCCCCTGAAGGGCAACTTGGGCAAAAAGTTCCTTTCAGCTTCAAGTAGACAAGAAGTTGTAAATATTGTCTGTTTCCCTGCCTCTAATGCAAGGCCACACTTGAACCTATTTGTTCCCATTTATAGATAGGGAAACTGACAGTGCAAATATTTTTTAAAACACACAAGAAACCCCAGACACTACAGGCTTTTTCTTCCTACCCTCACAGAAGCAGCTGAAAGACTGCAGGGAGCAAAGATCATGTTTGAGCTGGGCTCATGCAAGCCATGTTCCCCCTTGGACTTCTCTCAGTTGTTGCCCCTTGCCTCCAATCTGTCCACAGGGTTGGTTTGTGGGTTTGTGTGTTGCTTTTTTTTCACACTGGTTGTGCTGTCTGTCTTGTAACAGAGCAAACGCTTAGAGTGAGCCCAGGCTGTCCATTTGCAGTGTAACAGATGTACTTGCAACTCAGCCACAGGGGCATAGCAAGAGGGTGGGAAGACTCACATGGCTTGGACATAAGATGAAGCCTTCAAAGGACCCACCACTCCTTGCAGTGAACTGTCAGTCTTGCCACCGCCCATTCCCTTGGTGGATTTTTCAGGATTTACGTCACTGCTCTAGAGAGTTAAGAGCACTCTTCTCACAGCTTGATGCAGAAGTAATATCAGCTGTAGCCAGCAAAAAGCAGAGTACTGCAAACACAGGTCTTGGCAGCAAAGTGAAGAGAGAACAGACCATCAGCCACAAAGTTTGGTATTGCTTTTATTTGTAACTCTTTAATCTCTCCAAGCGGTTTGTTCCACAAATGACTAAGAATTACGGTTTTGCTGATATTTACTTAAAAAGGAGCTGTGGGGAAGGCACTTACAATTTACCTATCTATGTAGCTGCAACATAGTGTAGAAGCATTGTCTTCACATGCAGACAGGAAGAAAATCAATTGCAGCTCCCAAAGGGCAGATGTATTGGTTGAGAAGGCCACCTGTGGCTGCTCAATGGACTTGGAACCACATTCCTCTGTGCTGCATTGCTGCTCGGCCCCGCTGTCAGAGGAGAGAGAAAGGGGACGCGTGCTCCAGGGAAAAGCTCTTTATGCTCTCCAAAGGGGTCTTGTCAAGGGCAAGAGAAAGAAGGGAGGGAGGTATTCGGTGTGCCCGAAGAGCCATACTCTGCTTGTATCATTCACGGGCACATACTGAGGATTACTTTGGTCCATGCTGTTGAATACAAGCTTGTTTGTAGCTCCCACTCAGTAGAAACAGGTTGAAAACTGTTCAGCCTTTACAGAAAATATTACTGTTGCAATGCTGTCAAGGTCACTAGCAGCCTGGGTTATCTGCTGTGTAAGTGCTAGCACACAAATCAGGCTTAGCTAAGGGCTATAATTCATACACTCAGCATTTTGTGGATTATGTCCTTTACCTTATCCTCATTGCCATTTTGGATATTCATTTAGCTCTGGTGTGTGACTCTTGCAATTTCTCTTTGGGGTAATTTCCCCATGTGATGCAGTGCTTCCCTGTATATGCCTTAATCACAGGCATACAAACTCATTCTGTGTGAGTAGCTTTATATATAATGCTTATTGTTATCTTTGAACATAGATGGTTCACCTTTGGACAAAACAATAGAAAAATGCAGGTCACAGGGTAAAAAAATCAGCAAAAAATGTTACAAAACCCACAAGAAATATTAACACAGATGCTCCTGTCATTAAGGCACCCACAGGAGAGTCAGGAAACCTCATCTCTCTTCCTGATTTAGATCCAGACTTCTGCAGGAGCTTACCAATTTCCAGGTGTCCAGCTTTTATTTATAAATCAAATATTATAGCATTTCCCACCTCATGGATTTATCAAGATTAACAGAATTCCTCATTCCAAAAAGCATTGTAAGAAAGTATTAAGAAAAGCAGTTCTAGCAGACACATATGCTATTACATTATCTTACAAAACTGGAGGCAATGGTCACAAGAAGAGTGGTGGAAAATAAAACAAATTTTTCTGTCCAACAAAGCAACTATTCTGTGTAATCAAAACAGGCTTTAGATTGTGCAATCCAGAAATGCATTCCCTTCAATAACGAAGTGTTAAAGAGTAAAGAACGTGTGCATGTGCTCATCCCCAGTGTGCCGGGCTAGCTGAGGCAGTAATTTTGAAACAGGTTACTTAGATCCATGGATCTGCATTGCAAGGAAAGGCCTGTCTCTTCTGAGATACTATGCTGGAAAACATGTGTATATCATTCTGTAAGATTTTCAGCCAATACGTGATTTTCTTTAAAAAAATTTTTCCTGTTAGTGCTGGAGTCACTGTTGTATATGAACTTATATCCTTCAGTTTTCTGGTTCTGATTTGTAATACTTCTAGCTAATGTTAGTTTTTGTCCTACAATGCCACAAGAGTTTATTTCTATCCTTTACACCCCAGATATGCAGGCACCTTCATCACTTTAGGAAGTTGCCTGCTTCTTTCCAGCTTTGTGATTCAGTGAAGCATCTTGGCATAAGCCTTTCTCTCTGCTTACTTCTTCTAAACAATTTAACGCAGTTAAGTGGCCTTGAACATGATCACTCCTGCTGCACAGCTGGGCCTACAGCAAATCCCCAGAATCAACCAGCCTGAAACTTCTAAGCCTGAAATTTGACTCACAGTGTTGTTGCCTCAGGCCCAGTCTTCCCCAGTTTGGCTCAGGGAAAAAATAATGGGTATAGCTGTTTACACAAAGTCCCTTTTCCCATTCTGTCCTATCTGATCTGATTCTATTTATCTTTCTGAAGAAATCATTTTAAAAGTGTTTGAGCCTTTGCTGCCGATTAATTACCAACTTCTTTCAAGTGAATTTTTCTTTCCTTCCTTCCTCATATCTGCTCTCCTAAAAATATTTAAAGATAATAAAAAAAACCCAAACCAGGAAACTGTGGTTGTCCGTTATTAAGCTTTTGTGCCCAAATGGAGAAACCTGATGTATCCTTGGTCAGTTATTATACATATTATTGCCACCTAAACATACAGGTCACCCAGGACGGTGGGCCATATGTATAAGTGACTGTGGGCAGACTGCAACACCCTTGTGTTTTCCCTAATGACCTGCTTGTCAGTAGGGAACGGCTGTTTTATAATGTACTTTGGACAGAAAGTGAAATTTTGAGGAAAATGTAAATGGGGTTAGGTTCTTGGAAACACATAAAATTATCCATTGCCTTACCAATTATAAGCATGTACATGCCCTCCCCTGCAGAAGAGGCTGGATCAGGCCTCTATCTTATTTGATGTAATTATGTTGGTTGTAAAATAAAATGCAATTGATACAGAGCATTTCTGGGTTTATTTTCCATATGTGACACACAAAAACAAATGGTATGTTACCTCTGAATTTTTATTTCAAGTATGCTGCACACATTTACATGTAAAAGTTATTAAAAAGCAAATGTAGCATTCTTTTACTATGTTCCAAGTAAATTGCATATCCCTTGTAACAAGAAGTCATTCTTGTAGTCAGGAGCCTCTTCGACTCCAGCAGTGTAGACATCTACCCTGCTTACAGATGCGATACTGAGTGATGTACAGCTTTCTTCCATTCAGCACTTCAAAATTAGTCAAAGGATTATAGAAAGAGCCTCCTTGTCAACAGCCTGGAATTCCAAACTGCATTAAAAATCCTAATGTTGCAGTGTATATCTTGAAGTATTTTTTAAGACTGTGTTCTTAAGAGCATGCAAATTGTCACATCTGGATTCAAATTCCGACATCATGGCATAAACACAGCCACTCTGGACTCCTTTTCCTTACTTTCTGCATCACCAATCCAATAAAGGGAGGTTCTTTGATTTCAGACTCCAGAATCTCTCTTGTGTTCTCGGGTTCAAGAGGACAAATCCTCTCTGCCTTTTATTGTGCACCTGATTTCAGCTTTTATCATGTCCTTGTTTCACATACACACACGCTGTCAGCACCAAAAGCAGGTGCTCATATACTCCATCATCCATTCCTATATCTCACAGCTAACTTACCACACCTCAAAGACATGGACAGTTCATTTCTTCCAAGCCATGGCTCGAGTCATCACTGGTGTAACTTGACCGACATCAGTGTTGCATACATCTGGCTTCATGTTTTGTAAACAACAAAATAAGTCATCTTTACATGTCCTTAATATCACAAGCTTCTTCATTCTCATTTAAAGTTAACAGTCTCATTGAAGCTTCCTATGGATTAACCTATCTAGAGCTGCCTCTGGGAAATGAGTCCCTATTTCTCCTGCAGAGATAGGAAGTTCATCTCAGTCCAGAAATATTCTGACAACATCTTCTCCTGTCTTATATTTCAGCCTATCTGTCACTCTAAGATTTAAAAGTGGATGTTGCTTGACAAGTTAGCTCTTCAGCTTACTTGAACATCACACAGTAAGTTACATCCCATTTGCAGTCAAGGAACTCCATCCAGAATCATGCTCAGAGCAGAGATGGCTCCACACACTTATCTTTTCATACTACAGCACCTGTTGTGCTTTGGAAAGGTGAGAGCGATCAGTTCAGTGAAGAACTTAATCTCCCAGCTTTGTGCTGCTGTGGCCTCCCTATAACTTGGTCTTCATATTAGAAGCATGTTCTTTCTCAGAAAAAGAGGGTTTCACAGCCACGTGAAATAAAGTTGATACCAACTTCATAAGAGCATTGTAACACATTGTATAGCTGTAAGGTATTTCTTGGTTGCCTATCTCACAGAAGTTACTGGAGTGCTTAACAGTGCTTGTTGAAAGCTTGTCCAGGGCAAGCAGATCACTGGCAAGTTACATATTCTTTCAGGCTGTTCTGAAGAGGCCATATATTATCATTTATTTCCTTTCCATACCACTCAGCCATCCAGCTTGTGTTTACTGATGAACCCACAATGTCAGCAACATCAGTTAGACAGAACTCGAAGTAAGCTTATTTTTGGAAGTGCTGTCAGTGTTAAAATCCTGGAAAGTTGTCATTTCATGTACATTGATGAGGGTGAGCATGTGTTTCATATCTGGCCTGGTTTTTTGGTAATTGGGAGACATACTCTCTTTTCTTAGACATGTCTAAAAGAGAAAAAACAAAGAAAAGCTTAAAACTGAGAATTCCTATGAAATGAAATTTTAAAAAAAAAACTTTGAAAGTTTTGCTTTTTCTCCTTTCTAACTATAGCTCATTACACCATTTCCATTTGTTTGTCACCATAAGCACGCAGTACAAAGAAAAGCTGATGTTTCTTGCTAAATCAATGAACTTTAATAAGACTAAAGCCTTAGTCACAAAAGGAAATTTATATTTATTCACATTTGCATCTGAACAGGCCTTGCATCAAGCTCTTGCAAGTGTGCTTCCACCTGCCTTCAGTGCAAGCCAGTGCCTGAAATATTTTCATCAAGTTGTCAAAGTAAAGCCCCAGTCCTGCCAACCAGTTCTAAACTGAATGTTGCTGTTGAGTTTATTGGAGATAAGGCACAATCTCCACTAAACAAGAGGACAAGGCAACCTGTAAGAACTTAACAGGCATTTTAAATAATGAAGTACACTTGTGAGATCAGGGCAATATTAAATTTTGATGAAAGCTGGTCCTGGTTGATACCTGAGACTGGACCTCAGCCAAGAGAAAGATACATGTAATTCTACCAGAATGATTATCTTCACTACATGGCTCTGTTTTTTATTACTGCACCACCAAAACTGGGACTTTTTTATGTAAGGGATGGAGAGATTTCTGGACACTGAGAAGAACAGGGGCATCTGTCACCTTTGAGTGATATCCTTGCTTTCATACTTCCATTCTAACAAATTCCTACAAGATTTATCTTGTCAAACTTTAGTCTGAACAGCACATATTACTGGCAGTATTGTCAATCTAAAAAAGACAGGCATAAATTTAATTGCTCCCTGAAGATACATGGAAAGCTACATTTAGCTGCAGCTAATTAGATATTCTCCAATCAACAGTTATGATTCATCTGCTGAGGAGCAAAACAAGAAGGCAAATATGAAATAGGCAGCAAAAGTTAAATCTGATCTCCCAAAATGCTAGGATTGGTTTTGTTTTGGTTTTAATTACAAATGCAGACAGTGATGTACTGTACCAACACCCAAGGCTCACCCTGACCTTTGCACAAGGGGTTGACTTCACTGCTGCCGCAGATGAAGCATAGTGTTGTTTCTGTGGAGTGAGCTTCCAAGGTACCTCCTCTCCCCTCCTTTCCCAGAACTACCAGCCATCATTAAAGGTATGGATAAAACCCCCAAGAAGGTTCTTTCCCATGTATCCTAAAATGTCTGTTTAACAAAAAAGATAGAACTTCACAAAAATGCTCATCTGAAATGGGGTTGCCACCAATTTACAGGTGTGGAAACTGAGGCAAAAAACAGATGGACTTGAACATGTCCATCATGCCACTACACAGAGCAATGCCATAGGTGGGGAAGAGATCCCAGGGGCATGTGACTCTGTGTCAGACAAATGCCGTTCCTAGGTACCAAACCAGAAGAGCTGTTGCTGTGCCCCTAAACTGATGAGTAGCTTGTGCTCAGAGTAACTGGAAGCAGAATTAGATCAGGATACAGTGAAATATACTGTCTCTTTGGAATTCCCTCCCATGTTCCTCATGCACCTGAGTTTGATCATAAATTAAGCACTAACACCAGCTTCACTAAAGCAGTGCTAGCAGAGAAAATGAGTGGGTTTGTTTTAGTTGGTTTTGTTGCTTTGCTAATGAGAAAGGAAATTACTTACACAGGTAAAGAAGATGAGCAGCAAGTAAAATATCCCAAGGCAAGTCAGCATGAAAAGCTCAGCTTTGTATTTTTTGAATTTTTCTTCTCCTCTTCCAGGGCACCCTAAAATGTAAAGCAAGGTGTTATATTGTTCTGGTGTTTGTAAGATATCTTTAAACTGTTACCTTCATGAAATGCCATGTGGAGTATGGAACAGTCAAGGCTCTCTACTGTACCTGTTACTTTTAATGTGACTGTGCTGCTCAGATTGCGTTCTCCACTCCATTCTCTCAAATTGCACTTATATGTCCCACTGTTTCGGCTGGTCACATTTTTGATCCTCAGTGAAAAGGAGGTGTCGTTGGAGAGCTCCAAGGACCCCCCAAGTTCTTTCGGATCATGAGATTCTACATCAAGGACTTCCCATGCTATTCCTTCACCGTCTCCAGCCATCTGGAAAACAGAAATATATTTCTCTCCTTGGGCAACAGTGTCATCCTCAGTTTTAGGGGAAAGACAGCTTTAAAGCCAGCTTATGGCTGAAAATGCAAAGACTGAGGGAGGCAACGGGGGCACAACCTCAAAAGCATTTTATATGTTCATGCTCATAATCCACAAGTGTATGGGATTTTGCTTAAATGGACTGGATATTTATAGATAGGCACTTTAGATCTATTCTGCAATAACTTCTTAAGCTGCCTCACCTGGACACAAACCTGGTAAAGGTGCAATATGGTAAAAGGTAGTGGTACAGTTCGCTCTCAATGCGCCTACACAGATGCCCTAGAAGAGTTCAGAGAGAGATGGTCCATGGGGATGAAGCAGAGGCAGCAAGAGGCAGCCCTACCCAGCTGCTTAGTGGTGGCTCTGGGGACCAGAAGTCCCCAGGAGAGCATGGTAGCAGGCAACTAGGTTCCACCACTGCCTGTGCTCGCCCTGCTAACACAATTTCTGCCATGCAGTGGTGGGAATTATACCTGCTCACCCAGCAGGCATGCCACAGTGTGATTGCTCTGCCAACACAGGCTGGCATCCTCCCAGGGGCCCCACAGCCCGCAGTCTCTTGTGGGAGTGCAGCCTTGGAAACTGCACTTCCCCATGCCAGTTCATGAGCAGCTGACCCCTGAAACCATGGTCCCTCTCTGGAGGAATGAGGATTTCCCCCTCCCCACTCCCTTTCCATCCCTTCCATTCTTTATTGGAACCAAAGAACAAAAAATTGCTTTGACTCCTTCAGATTCAGTTGCGTGAAGGTCACAAGCAGGTTCTGGTGCACTTGGGGAGCATTTGTATGTTGAATTTCTTAATTGTAACCAGAAGAGCTACATTCCTTGGCATTGCTGAGAGGCTGCTGGAGGAATGAAGTGTATTCCCAGAACAGTTTATACTGCAGGGTGATAGGATGCACTGAAAATGACAATTGGCTGGGAACCACAAAGAAGAGAGAAATCACTAAGTTGATTTGAAAGATGGGAGAAGGGTTTGAATTAGCCCATGTCCATTCTTATTCATCGAAGTTACTCGCTGGGATTCAAGGCAGCGTGCCCTCCATGAAGGTTTCCCAAGTAATGAATTCAGTGTTTCTGTGGACCAGCAGAGCTAGAGCCAGCTCATAAGTCCAAGGCTCAGCATTTCAGCCAAACCTTTAACTAATGTAAGCCAAGGCTTTTTTATTGTTATTATTTTATTTTAATAGACACATTTTTGGGTCATATGTTGGTGCTTACTTTCTATCAGTATTGCTACTGCATCAGGGTATAACAGTTACACTGCAAGTTATTAAAATTAACACAATTTTCTCATACTGAGGCTAGGAGTATCTGGTTTCCCTTTCATGTGTTTGTATGAGGAAAGCACACTAGGGAGTCTGGAAAGAAATATGGGCCTGATGCTCCATTATACTTTGCTATTTTTGCAGTCCTAAAATGGTGCAAAACAAGCTGCAAGTTGGGGAACTTCTCAGGAACTGAGGAATGAGACTAAAGCACGAGATTGTAATAATTATAAAGATTCTTTCTCAGAAGGGTTCTGGGTTTTTTAGTGCATCAACTGAAACACTGAACAGTAATTCCCTGGGGCTTTCCATACTTTACCCAGCAAGAGGGAAGAAAGTACCTTCTTCCTCTTAATCCCCCAGTAAATATACCCCAGCTTCTCCTTCTTATTATATTCAGCCTCGAGCAGCTACAAGAAAAGCAGTATGTATGGTGGTTTGGGGGCTGTAGGGACTTCACTGTGCTACAGGGATTTAGGTATTTTCAGGCCCTACACATTGTCAGAGATGTGGCCAGAGGAATTCCAATACCCAGGCTGGGCTCAGCTCTGGTTACAACTGGGTCAATAGCAGTTAAGTGGATATAGTTGACCTCTCTCAGATCTAATTTTTGCCACTCTCCCATCCCTTACCACCCCCTTCCTCAGTGAAATTTAAAACTGCCCACAGGGCAATAAAGAGAACCAGCCTGACTGCCCTTTGCATTGCCCTAAATTGCAGATAGGAGGTCTGAGCTGCACAGAGAAAATTAGTTTTGCTTGGGTTTTTTTGGTTTGAGTTGGTTTTGGTTTTTTTCTTATTAATTCACTGGTAGCATAAATAATTGCTGTCTTGGTTGGTAAATGGTGCTGTGATTCTTGTGGCTGAGATCTGGGAATAAGAAAACACTTTGATCTTTCTGTATGCAATTGCAATCTGCATTGCCTGTAAAAGGGAGAAGTCAATTAAGTCCATGCATCCTATGCCTGACCATGCGCTTATTCCCAGTGAGATTTGGGGTAAATGATTTAACTTTCCTTTTTCATGGGAACAGTGAGGGATAGGATTGATTGTTGCCTCCAAAGCCTTTCAAGGTGCTCAGACGGTGACCTTGGAGACAAGCCAGTCAGTCAGTGTCCATAAAGCTGCACTAACAACATGCCTTTCCCCAAAACAGAAGAAAAAGTTACTTGTGGCCTAATCTGGCTCCCTCACTTGTGGAAAAAACAGTGGTGACCTGGATGGAGGTTGCGAACCTGGCATTTGGGGACGAGGAGAAAGGGGTCCTATCTGTGGGTTTAATTTGGGGTTTGCATGACTTTCTTTTTCCATTAAATCTCCCCTTTACTGGAGGGCAAAGGCAGGCAAGGCAGTCCATGGGGGTGCTGTGTGCCCAGCAGCATCCAAACATTTTTTAGGCTGCAGAGACATCTGGTGGCATTTTTCCAGCCTCTACAGGCAGCGCATCCATCCCTACTCAGAGGTCACAGCAACCCCTTCTCTGATGCCTGAACCAAGCCTTTTTCCAGTGCAATCTTATCTCCTGTTACCTTATTTTAAAAAATAGCACCTCCTCCCTTTTAAAATTCTCTAAGCAGCAAGGAAACATCTGAGCAAATTTGCAGAGCGTATCCCCATATCCCAGCTGTATAAAAGGAAGTCCATGAGATGTTCAGTAAGGTCATTGTTCTGCCTCTTGCCCTATTCAAGCTAACCTCTCTTCCCTGCAAACCTAATTAAAATTACAAAAATGCCACTTTGTTTGCCACCTCCTGTGAATTACTTGGCAGACTCTCACTAGACAGATCATTTTGCAGCTCAAGCTCCTATGATAAACCAGCTCTAATTCATGCCAAGTGTCCTCCAGGTGATACCACAGCCCAAGGTAAATGCTGGGGGTTTTACCTAATTAATTCCACGCAAGCTTAGAGGGATTGAAGTGAGCGCTGTCAGTGACAGCAATCCACTTGTGTAGGGACCATCCTCTTCTTTAATAAGTGAACTATATTTTCCACTCATGCTTCATTTCTGTTTCGTTTCCCTTATACCTTGCTGGTGAGCAAGCTGCAGCATGCCAGCTTCCCCTGCTCCTCACCTCCAAATGGAGGAGAAAATGCAGATGAGGTGTTCCTGCTCTCATGTTTCCTGTTAATGGCTTTACCAAAATTCAAAAAGCAAATGATGACCTGTGTGGGGAAAGGTAGAAATGCTACCAAATCTATTTGCATAAAAAGGGCCTCGTTGCCATGCTGTCTGTCGGAGGTTACTGAAGCAAGAATTTTGCTGGGAAAGAGGGACCTGCAGGCTGGCAGCATCATTCTGCCTATCTGCATAAAACTACCCACTATGAAAATTAAACAGCAAAAGAAATGTGGGGTTGTGTTTGTTGTCACATATATATTGGCCCGCAGAAATGTCTGTGACAGAGATTCAGAAATCAGCTGGGAAAAAAAAAACAGCAAACAACAGAAGTCTGTTGTTTTCCATTACCTCCATAGCAAAGAGAAGAAATGCTGCCCCCAGGGGCTGATACTGTTCAACACCATTATCAAGGACCTGGACACTGGGATGGAGCTCAGCTAGTTGTAGGTGACACAAAGCTGAGAGCAGTGGCTGATACACCAGAGATTCATGCTGCCATCCAGAGGGACCTTGCCAGGCTAGACAAATGGGCTGACAAGAACCTTGTGAAGTTCAGCAAACGGAAATGCCAAGTCCTGTCCCTGTGAAATAATAACCCCAGGCACCAGAACAGGCTGGGGACAACTTGCTGGAAAGGCCCTGGTGTCCCAGTGAACACCAAGCTGACTACAAGCCATAATGAGCCCTTGTGACAAAAATGGTTGATAGCCTCCTGGACTGCACTTGGCAGAACATCTTCAGCAGATGCTGAAGTGAGGTGATCCTTCCCCTCTGCTCAGTCCCTGCTGAAACACACCCTGGAGTGTTGGGTTCAGTGCTGAGCTCTCCCATGCAAGTGAGACATGGATATACTGGAGAGAGTCCAGCAAAGGGCCACAAAGATGATTAATGTCTTGGAGCAGCTGACACATGAGCAGAGGGTGGAAGAGATTGTTCAGCCTGGAGAACAAGCTCAGGGTCATCTTATCAATATTGATTCAACCTCATTGCCAGGGAGATACAGAAACTAAAGCCAGACACTTCTCAGTGGCCTTCAGAGACAAGCCAAGAGGCAATGGGCACAAACTGAAATTCAGGAAGTTCCATTTAAACAGAAGAAAAATATTTTTGACTGTGGAGGTCATTGAACACTGGAATGGGCTGCCCAGAGAGGCTGAGGAGTCTCCATCCTTGGAGATATTCAACAAGCCACTAGACATAGCCATAAGGAACCAGCTCTAGGTAGTTTAATTGGAGGATATTCTAGTTGCAAAAAGCTTGGAAATACTTGGTTTAAAGAGCATGTGATTTTCCAACATATATTCTCTAGTCAATTGACTGTTTCCTATTAAGTTTCTCCTAGCCTGGAGCTTTTTGATAAAAACAGTGATGGTGATATAGTGCATATTAAAATGGGATGTTTGATTGAAAATACCACTGAGCTGATATATTTCTGTTCCCTGTTTGGGTGAATTATGAGAAATGGGTAGAATAATCAGGCCTTCAAATATTTCTTTTATCAAAGAATTAAAAACAGGGTAGTAGAAGGTGGAGGAACACTTTTCTCAGTCCTAGCTGGCCAGGTTTTACCTGCAGTTTTGAAAACTACTACAGTGTTACATAGGAATGCCACTAAACAAAGGCAATTCACCCATGCTGTGGCAGTTACACCCAACTAATCAATTAAAACTTAATTTTCTCATGAACATGTGAGAGCAAGCAATTGTTAACTCATGTTCTCTGCTCTCATTAAACACCTTTTCTCATCAAAGTTTTCTCACACTAAGGTGGTACGTTGGCTCTCAGGTAAATCAAAGTGCCAATATAATCCACTTTTCCCATAAAAGCAAATTTTTATTTCAAACAAAATGGTTCAGGTCCAAAACTTATGTCAGTTTAAAGGTGGAACATATTAACATCAAATTATTTTCTTCTGAGGGTGGGATGATTGTAAAAATGGCTTTGTTTAATATTACACCAGGCATAATGGCCAAGTTGAAACTTCTGACTGCTATAGAGAGCTAAAAACTATATAAAGCAGAAGGAACCTATTTTCCAAATCAAAATATAGAGAATTCTGGCAATGCCCAATAGCCAACGTATAATGAATCACAACTGAGCTGAAACCACTTAATAGGTGTATTTTTCAGCACAAAACACTTTCACATTCGATTAGTGCTGAAGGTGCATCCATATGGTTCCTATACAGTGTCATGTAGAGATACCAAAGTTAAATTTGAAAAAAAAATAGGCATAAATTGTGGGCACATGCGAGTGAACTCTGAGTGTGCTGGGGGCGGGGGAGGGGGAACCACAAAGAAAATCCAAAACCCAACCCCAAAAACAACAGCGAAGGAACTGCATGTGACACATGAGCCAGCTGGAAAAGCCCTCTGAGTTAATCTCACAGCTTCTTTGTTCTTTGGGTTAGTTAGTTGGGTTTTTTTAGCTAAGGGCACCCAGCGCTAGCTCATGTCAGGCAGAAGAATTGTTTTGGTCATGAAATCATTTTCACTGCTCCCTTTCTGTCTAAATCATCAATGTGATAAAGCTATTTGGGGCTGAATAGATGTCTAAGGAGCATCTGACTGTGTTATTTGGGGTATGCTAGAAATGAGACTGAAGTAATTTAGCAGCTATTTACCTAGAGATCCTAATAGATCACAGCTATGCACATTTAGCAAAAGTAGTTTCCTTTGAAGAAAGGTGCAATTAATATTAAATTTCTATTATGTTTATTCTTCTTTTGTAATATTACTTTCCCCTCTAATTCTGCTACAACTTTATATTTTTCATGGAAGTGTTAAAAAGTTAACAGATTTCATTCCACTGAAGCACAGCCTTCTTTCCTTTTCCTCAAGATTTGTTTTAGATTAAGACTTTTCTGGCTATCACATGAACAAAATAGTGAAATATCCACTGGGACTTCATTTGTGCATGTTTAAACTGGGTTTTCAAACTGGATATAAAGTGATAATTACAAGGTTTTATGAAGTGGTTCTCATTCTCAATGTGCTGCACAAAGAGAAACTGTTTTCAACAACCCTAAGAGGCAGAAAAGTAAGTAAAGTTTCATTACCCAGATTCTTGTCTCGTAGGTGGGCCATAGAGATTCAAACTAGTATTTCCATAGACAATTCCCAGTGCCTGGGTGCTTATGCAAAAATGACCTAGTTTTCAGTTCTCAGTGAGCAAACTTCCACACTGCTTATATATGGTTTTATGGCATGTAGGTTGCCAAGCAATCCTAAAAACGTACCACATTTTAAGGTTATCATAATTATGAATTCTCTTTTTCATGGCCACATAGTGAACAGGCTGAGAGCTGAATGAGGCTGGAAGAGGACTTGGTGAACTGCCTTCCCCCCGGTGTGTTTGGCTGGTCCACTTCATACATTTCTGAGTAAAAATCATTTTGTGAGCTGACTGACTGTGGTCCTGATTCTGCAAAGAACTACTTGCACAAGTGACTTCTGCATGAGAATTATTAGCTCCAATGATCCTGGGAGCATGACAGGTCAAACACATCCATGCTTTTCTTGCAGTATGAGACATTAGCAAAAGTGAAGGAACTGTTGAATGCAAACCTTCTTTTTCACATCCAGATGGATTTTTACACCACAATATTCACTCCTTTAAACAATTATTTCTCCATACAGAAATGAAAAAGCAAGTTGGTTTGGGGTTTTTTTTTTTCAGACTGTAACAAGCTGTTTAAAAGTGCCCCTTAATTGGTCTGGGCACACAAAGGTGCCAGCGGAAGGAGGGGTTTGTTCATGGAACAATCACCCTGTGCAAACAGCTGCACATGCAGCACCATAACGTTGCTGCCATCTTTTTTTTTTTTAAAGCAGCAGAAGCAAAGGTTAATTGCTTGCATTTACTTCACAGTTCAAAGTGACCTCATACAAAAGATTTTGCCTAACAGCTGCTTGAACTTTACAGCCTGAAATTTCATACCATTTGTTGGAATTACCTTTTAATTAGCCCTTTGGGGGTATATGTGGTGTTTATTGATTAATCCTTCAGTAGCTGTTTTTTAAATAACAGATTAATTACCTACATTGGGTAGCACAGTCACACTCCACTATTCCCCACCCTCCTTTTGCAGTGTTGGGTGGGGAGAGCGGCATTGAGCCAAAGTGTGGAGAGGGAAGCTCTTGCCTATTTAGCTAGACCCAGAACTAGAACTATTGCTTCTTCAGCGCAAAACACTGAGCCTAAACTGCTTTTTCCTACAGAGAGTCAGGCTTTTTAGATTTGGTGCTCTGCTTTTCCTTATATGACTGTCACCAACTGTCTGTCCCCGCTTCCCACCTCTCTCCTGGGATGAGTAACTAGAAGAATTCAGTACCATGGTTGGTGCCATCAGCCCCTGAGGATGGTGTCAAGAGCTGACAATAGCTAGATTTTTGTTACTTTCTTGTGTCAACAGAGAAAAAAATTGTGAGATCCTGTCATGCTGGACACTGGAAAAAGTCTTTTCCTGAGCAAAACAGGTGATGCAGGAAGAGCAAGGAGTGCAGACCATGGAGGGAAACAAATTTGTAGGGACAGGGCAGGGGACTTGCAGTGGCAGTCTGGACTGTAACAATGTGATTGCTACAAAGGGAACCAACACCAGTGAGGGCTGCTGAGGGAGGAGCCCGCACAAAAGGCATCATCAAGTATCACTCTCCCCTGCACGTGCAGTCATTTTGAGCTACCATACAACACAGAATTGGGTCTACAGGATTTCCTTACACTTTTTCATCAGGGCTTTAGGCTACTATTTGCTGCCTGGTCTCCCCAGCTGCCACTGAACTCTGAGAAGGATATACTTCCAGAGGGTCCACACACTTCAACCTGTTTTTGTTGACTTCCAGCACTGGTTTGAGGGACACTTTTCTGGGATCTAGTCAACCTCTCTGTTTGTTCTCCCCCCACCCTCTACCACTTCTGCTCAACTCCTCCAGGTCCACCAGACTGTTGGTTTGCATTCAGTGAGCTCCCTGCCCTTCCTAGACACTGTGGGAAAATGGAGCCTGAAATAATTAGCATGTATCTGGACAGAAAATACAGATCCTTATCCAGCTTTTGAGGCAGAAAGCAAAAAAAGCATAACTTGACTCCTATCCCAGCTTCCATAGTAAAGTCCAACCAAATGCATTATTCTTTTCTCTCTGTCTCCCACCTATGCTTAGTTCAGCATTTTGGAAAAAGTTGACTATAGATGCTGCACTTGTTGGTGGCTTGGTAGCCAAATGTTCAAAACATCTCTTTTGGGGTGCAGTTGTCATCTAATCAGTAGGCAGGTGCTCATTGTTGTACCAGCAATGAAATCCAGATGCATTGCAAATTTTGACCACAGAAGCCCTATCTAATAACACTGTTTGTTGGTCTACTGTAAGGAATAGATTTAAAACTGTATCTAACCAACCTGCTGAAGAAGCCAAGGCTGTGGTTTTATGTTCTGGCAGAGATAAATTAACAGTTTTCACCCACCATAAATAGGGTTTTTTTCCTTCCATTCCTCTACCATCACATGGGAAAGTAATTCAACTCTGTAACCCACAAAATCTTTATTCACAGCTTGATTTTCCACTATTATAACAAGAAACAGAGAGTAGACTTTACAGGCAACTGGAAGACCACCAGGACTGGCCTGTGGTAAGTAACAGGACTGCATGGCTGGGAGTCAGGAATGGAGGAGAACAAAAGCTTCATTTTTTTCCCATTAATTAGGCTCAGAGCATAAGCTGAAACTATCCATTGAGATGAAAATATATGTTGCCATACATCATGTCAACAGCCACTTCTTCTATCCCTGGGCAATTCTACCTCTCTATCTATAAAAAACTTCATCCTGAAAATGCTGAGCAGGACTTTTCTGCTCATTAGCTGATTGATCCCTCTATCCCCTCCTGCAAATAGGTGGTCAGCAAGGCTCTTCTGATCTGGGGATGGGAATTCTGAATCAGAGTAGTCAAGATCTGATTTTTACTTCGTGATTGCAAAGAGATAACTCAGAATTCTTAACTGTCTTTATGCCCACCCCACTAGTCAAAACTTCCTAAAGAATAGCAAGTGCTTTTTTAGTTCTTCTATTGCAAAACAACCAGCTCCTGTGCAGGCAGGGAGGATGGGGGATTAACCACTGATGTTGCAAGGCTTAAACACTATTTTTTGCCCTGAAGAAAAACGTTGAAAGACTCCTCTTTGGAGTAGTATTTGGCAGGCTGCACACGGGGCATCACCTAAAGTCTGATCCACAGAAGCCAGCAATAGTTAGACAGAAAAGCAGACCAATAGCAATTCAGGGAATCACATTCTCATAATCTGTCTACAATGGCATGGACAGCACCTATTCTCCACGATCAACTCAAATGCTTGCAGTGCTGCCTCATGTCTGCTGCACTGACAGGAGGATGCCTCTACAGAAAACAACCCGTTTTGTACAAGACAAGCCAGTATCAGGTAGGAAAGCAAAGCAGGCTGCTCACATAACTTAGGCTTTTTTCTTACTTTGTACCAAGACACTGTCTGGTAGACAATTGAGGAGTTCTGAAGAACTTTACAGGGCAGCAGCGCTTCTTCAGCACACCTTACAGCAACGTCTGAGACCGCCACTGAAGTCCCATGGATCAAGCGCCAAACTGCAAAGCACAGGTACACATCACTTTTTAAAGAGATTGCTTACATAATCCTTCCTGTTTTCTCAAAGCATATCCTCACAAAATAAATGTGAAAGACCAGAATAAAAACCACTTACCATGGCACAGGATGATGAGCAGAGTGTAGACTACCAAAGACATGGCTTTTACGGCTTCAAATGACAGAGCAGCAACAGTGCCTCCTTGCAGGATGGACTCTGAGAGCAGAGTGAAACTGCTACTGCTTCTGGAGTGGTATTTCTGAAGGCAGACTGGGGAATCCCCCAGACCTATCTAGA